CAGGCACAAGAGATGTACAAATGAGATACTGCAGGAAAGGGGTTCAATATTCTTCCACAGAAAAGATTCTTACATACAACATTGCATATATTTTCCATAGAAAATATTCATCTTTCTGTCCAAAAATGGGTACTATGACTAGCTGGTATATTAAAAAGGATCAGAGAAACATGTACTTTCATGATGTACTTGGGATTTGGAAATAATGTCATGAAAAATACCAACATAGAACTTACTCTCTTCCATTTGGAAAGGAGTTCCATCACTTTTTTTCCATGTCTTACAGTTTTACTACATCAAAGAGCTTCGTATTTAAATCTTTCTAAGATGGCTTAAGGAGCTTCCTATTATCTCATATTTCAGCATGATAATTATCATCCTCTCTTGTGGAAATATTTTTCAAAGATTTTGTGTAAAACTGAAGTCAAACATAGTAAAATTCACTCTGGTTCTCAGTAACCACACCACACCAACAAGCTCATATAATCCTTGTGTTAACAGCACGCAGAGTATTGGGACTAGGATAGGTTCTCTACAGAGAGCTCTTTGTGTATGCATGCATTATCAGCTTATTGTCAGGCTGAATTTGTTATTGCTTATACAATTTCTGCAGTAGCATTATCTATCACATTAAGAGTCACCAGCAAACAACAAAGGTTTAAAAAAAAAAAAAAAAGTCCCTCATGTCTGGAGCACACAAGAAGCCTTTAAACACACTTTTGCAAAAATGTACTCACTTGTTCCTATTTTTTTCTGATCCAGTTCTATTCCAGGAGAAGAAAAAGGTGGCATTATTGTATTTTGTTCTTTAAAAATCGGTGGAGTTGATGTCAACTGGCTGTATGTGAAGGGTTTTGCCTTTGGAGTTTTAAAAGAAGTTTGATCGATGGGAGCATCAAGTTCTAACAATTTAGGTTCATACGGGGGTGCTTCTGAGCTGAGTTCTTCGAACCAGTTGAGACTTATAGGCCCTAAGTCTGTGAACAAAAACAGAGAAAAACACATAAAAAAAAAAAAAAGAACCCTACCAAATCTCATGCAAACAACATGGTAATAAGTACGAGTTCATATGTTATTAAACCATATTTCCATATTAAAATGGAAATCTTCATTCTATATGACATGCACAGAAGAACATCATAATTAGTCATAAATTAACACGAAATTAATGCTCTATAGAGAATGTGAAAATGTATTAGGCATTCATATGCTAGCAGGAAAATGCTTTACCCCTTCCAGCATTAACAGTTTAACTTTACTCCTTTCCAACTTGAACTTGATGATCTTGGAGGGCTTTTCCACCCCAAGTGATTCTAGGATACCATTGCAGTAATTCTGCTTATTATGATTCTAGATAGCTCCTAATTCTGTTACCCACAAGTGTTAAGAAAAAAAAAAAAGTCCGCTAAACTTCTAAGACAATTAGGAAAACTAACCAAAGAGCAGATAAATAGCCAGTTTGCTTAAAATGTTTTTAGTTTAGTTTATTTTTCTCAGACTGGCAAGTTAAACAGGTTCCTTTTAACTTTGAGATATACTACTGTTGACACATCTGGCAAAAGACTAAACTTGGCCTGCCTGCAAGTACATAAGAAAACCCAGGTGGAAAAAAAGAAAAAGTACAAAAAAGCAACTGAACACACATTCTGAAAGAAACTACAATTGCATATAGATGGCAATTCCAAAAATGGCAGATAGATTTGGGGCAAGTACAACAGCTAACAAGATGCACAGTACTTCTATGTGGAACGTACAGCTTACAGCAAATGTGTATAAAATACCAGTGTCCTGAAAGCAACCCTAACAGCACATGTTCAGTGTAGTCATGCTGTACCTGAATCACTGCAACGCGTCTTAAATATTTCAAAGAAGGTTGGTCTTTCCCCAGATCTGCAAGCCATTTTCGCACCCGTACGATCACTGGAACGCGCGTTGAGAACCCTGTGGAGAGATGAGATGAGATGAGAAGGCTCTGCCTGGCGGCCCAGCTCCGTGAGGTGCGCGGGGCAGCTCCTAACCCTGCTCTGCTGCATCCCTTGGCAGGTGTGATGGGGCTGCCTGCACTAATGGTGACTGTGGTATGAAAACAAGAGAGTGTGAGGACTTATGGTGGAGATAATATGAATGTTGAGTGAATACTGGAGGAAATGCATGACTGGGAGGATGTTTTTGAGGTGTTCCAGGTAGGGCGAGCCGCCCACCGCCGCTCCTTCACACCAGGCCAGTGACATCCCGGTGTGTCCTCACACAGCCCACACACCACGAGCTCCGAGGGGCCCGTGAGGCACTGCCAGCTTCACAGGAGGGCCACAGACCCTCACACCCTTTATACCACCTGCTGAAAGCCAAACACCTGATGACACAAAATATTACAACACGCACTCTCTAAGCCACTCAACGCAAGTCTGACGAACCGGGAGCCTCCCCCGAGCTCCAGAAGAGCAGGCAGCCCACCTGCCTCGCCCCTCACCCCCCTCATCCCGGGACCTTTTTACCTCCCTCCGGCCCCCGGCAGGGCACGGGCACGGCGGCCGCATCGCCTCACGCGCGGGGCCGCGCTCCGCTGCGCGCCCCCGAGCCGAGCCGAGCCGCGCGGCCCCGCGCTCGCCGCCGCCGCCGTTCCAATCCCGGCGCCAAGGCTCCGTCACGAGCCGCGCGTGCGCGCGGAGGCGGGGGGCAGGGGGCGGGGAAAATGGCGGCCGCCCCTCGCCTCAGCGCCTCAGCGCCTGGCGGGAGGGTGGCGCCGGGCTCGCTCCTCCCCTCAGCGCTTGGCGGGCTGAGGGGGTGGAGGAAAAAAAACGAGCCAAAACAGAAGTTGTTGTGTAAATGCTTGCCCTCCACGTGCGGTTTTCCACGATACAAACTGTGTCCTCCCCTCTACAAGGATGTGTCTGTGGTGGCACCGGTGCTGTGTATTGGCTGTATAAAATAACCCACATAACAGCTGTCTCATAGAAAACAATAAAAAAACACAACTTCATTAGAAAGTAAATGGAAAAAAGGCTTAGATATGAAGAAAAAAAGTATGCTATATGAAAATAACTTTTCATCCCTTCCCAGAAAATGCCTTGCTGACTAGATATCAACCCTCTACGTTCATTTATCTTGCTTTTCAGTCCCTGTACTCTGATCCAAACATCATCCTTCTTCTATTCACACATCCCTACACGCATGCAAGGCCAAGGGTTGTATCCAAGGTTGACATGGTCTGACCATTTAATGGCAGTTAACATCAATGCCCCCCCAAAAAAAGTCTCCAGAAGCCTTACAGCAAGCGGTACTGGGGTGGAGTGTCATTGCCTGGGAGGATCTCAACCCAATCTCTTTAGTTAGGTGCTTTTGTAGGCATCAAAACATTAAGTTTATTATAGATGTTGTTATTATGGCTAGTATAAAATACTGCTTTCCTCTGGATACATTTGACCCTTGATACCATCTTGACCTCAGCAAGGAGTCCATAAAATAACTTCAGACAGGGTGGAAAATTCTTGCAATAGCCAATTTTCAGTTAGCTATCTTTCAGAGTAGCTGCACGTCCACCTGCTCTTGTGTTATAAAAGGGCATCTACTTACCTCTCCATACCAGTCATTGTTTTACAGTTTTATCATGCCTCCTTACTCATGTGTCACCTTCTTCAGATTCTCTTCACACGATAGTTTTTCTGCATCCCTTCTCCTTCCAGCAAACTTACTTAGTTTCCTTTAATCCTGCAGAGCCCTGTGGAGGTGCAATAACTGCTTCTTCCCATAGCATTATAGAAGAAGCCATACCATTGTTTTGGGTGATAGCACGTAGTTTCCATTTTATTCTTCATCTGCTTCACAATTCTATTTACTTTTTCTTTTTTTTTCTTTTTATTTATATATTTTTTTTTCTGTTGAGTTGATTTAGACGGTTCTTTGAAAACCTAAACATAGTGTGCAACCTTGACCCATCTTGTTTTTAACTACGAGTGTGCATTTCCTGAATCTTAATCCCTTTTTGTTCCATAAAAATTTTGTTTTCCACGAAGAATTCAGACACTTGAAAGGATCTTTCTCAGATACAGTGTGAAAACGTAAAGGCATTGTCCCTACCAGTTCCTCTCTAGCCGTTCCTTTGCTGGCCCATTGGATTTTATAATGCAACGCTTTAATAAAGATGGTGAAGAGTCATGCAAAGGAATTATTTAGCATCACAGCAAGTCCAAGGATTTGGGGATTCTTTAGTCTCTAAAGATTCACATACACTGTTTACATGACTTAATAATGTTAATTATGTTACCTTAAAATTGACGTAAATAAAGTGATGTAATTATCAAAGGACTATTAGTCTAATATGCAAGTACTTGTATTGCTATAATTTATTTTATTACACAGATATTAAGCCATTTTTCCTGGTGTAACTTCTCCCTCTGGAGTTTTGCAGGAACTGAAGTATACCCCATCTTTTTTCTAAAACAACAGGGTTGATAGAAAAGCTGTACATGTGTATGTGAGCAATCCTTCAGTAATGGGGGTGTTCAGAACTTTTAGCAATGACAACGACTTCTATTAAAAGACTAACGTCCCGCATTCTTCACTCTGCTTGTGGCATACCCAGTTTATCTGGGTTTTGTTTGTTTCTAAGACTCCTTTTCCTTTTTTTTAAGACCTTTAATGGAGGGAATGGTTGGCAAGCAGACTTTCTGTCACCGTGAGAGCTCCATTTGCCCCAGCTATGGCTGAGCTATGTCCGTTCAGTCTCCGCAGGGTCTTGCAGGCTGGTGCAGTTTTCTGATCGCCGATTACTTCTCGGTGCTCACAACTCTGCAGAGACCTTCACTGACTCACAGCTTCCTGAATAAATGAGCCTTTATAGAGCCCAGGAGGCATCATCACATCTAACCCTGGAGCAGCATTTCTTGCATGAAGCCACCGATGAAGACTTCCAGAAGCAGAGCAGGTTGGGCCATGTGCCCTTGGCAAAAAGACAGGCGAGCTCTGTACCCCAGATTAAGTACGGGAGGAAAGCCTATGGCTGGAGCAGTGTTTTCATGGCCGAGGACAATCAGAGAGCAGAGGGGACAGCAGGCCTGGCAGCCCTCCCCGTGCAATCAGCCCCAGCCAGCTGGGCCCAATTTCCCCATCAATCAGCAGCAATTAACACCAGCTCTCCAAGACCAGATAAAGGCAGGGCTGGGAGCCCTCCTAGAGCTGACTTCTCTGCAGGTGTGAGCATGGAGAGCTTTGTCTACCCACCCTTCAGCACCTACCAGAGCTTTAGGGCTGGCCTGACACCACATGGTGGCAGGGACCCGGTGCTGAAGCAACCCAGCTGGAAACAGAGCAAGAGCACAGGGCTCGGTCCCTTCCCTGGGACCCCCACCCCGCTGCCCTCTGACTACTTGGACAGCTGCCACCGGGCCCACCTGAAGGCCCTGCTGTCGCAGGTGAGCCCAGGGCTGACCCCACGGCTTCGCCGAGCCAACACTAGGGAGATTGGGGTGCAGGTGAACCCCCGGGCCGATGCCGCTGTGCAGTGCTCGCTTGGGCCTCGCACGCTGCCTGCCGGCCGCCCCCTCAGCCCTGCTGGCCTCTATGCTCGTGGGCGCATGGCCCTCTACTCGCCTGTGCTGGATCGCCGCCTCTTCACCATGCCTGAAGCTGCGGGGTTCCGTGAGAAGGATGAGGTGGCTGCGGCCAGCCCTGAGAAGCAGAAGGCAGAGGATGGTGGCAGGAAGCAGCAGGATGGCCAGGCAGCAGCCGCTCCTCTGACTGAGGGGCAGTCGAAGGCATCACAGGAGGAGGCTGCAGCCCCTGGCCGCCAGGCGGCTTTCCAGGTGTGCAGTGGTGCCCACCCCAGCCTCTGTCTTGGGTCTGCACCCTTCACAGCCCCCCTTGCCTCCAGGTCCGAGCCCCCTGGCTGTGGAGGTGGGTGGTGGTGTGAGGGGAGCTGGGCCTGGGGGCTGCTGAGTGACCCCAATCTCCCCACAGTTCTTGGAGCAGAAGTACGGCTACTTCCACTGCAAAGACTGCAAGACCAGATGGGAGAGTGCTTATGTGTGGTGCATTTCTGGAAGTAACAAGGTAATTGATGTGTAACAGCAAGTCTTTTCTTGCTCCTGATGCTTGCAAGTACAACACAAAATCTGAGAAATTGTTTTTGGCACAAATTTAGGACACCCATATTCAATATCCCGAGGAAATCTCAGTAGTAACTGAAAACTTGTTCTTAGGTGTACTTCAAGCAGTTCTGTCGCAAATGCCAGAAGGGCTACAATCCCTATCGTGTGGAAGCAATCCAGTGCCAGGTACGTTACAATATTTTTTTGTACAGTAGGTTTTTGTCTTATGGTAAGACTGCCCAGGTTTGTCATGAACTCTGCTAGTTCACAGTTGCTGAATTTCTTACTGACTTTATCTGGAAGAGAACTTGCTGTTGAAGTACCAGAAAACTTATTTGGGAATGGTGTAATGCCATAGGTCTCCACCGTGTAGATGGCTTATGTGAATGGCTATCTTTTGCTACACCATCCTGTCCTGCCACATGCAGGATAGGTAGGGTTTTGACGAGTATTTCTAGGTGAGGAGGCTCTTACAACTTTACTCTTTCACCACAAAAGCTCTTTTAAGCAGCTCTTTTAAGCATATCAGCTCAAGTATGATCCTATGACTAAGGGAAAACAGGTGCCAGTCTAATATAATGTACACTTCTTTGATATACTACTAATGTCTTTCCTAAGACCTGTTCGAAGACTCGTTGCTCCTGCCCTCAGAAGAAGAGGCACATCGATCTCAAGAGACCTCATCGCCAAGAGCTCTGTGGCCGCTGCAGAGGCAAGAGGCTGTCCTGTGATAACACTTACAGCTTCAAATATATTGTCTGATCTGCGTGCCCCATTTTGCATTTGCACTTTGTCAGTCTTCTTGCAATGTTTTGACCTTAGGCTTTTGACCTGGCATTGGATAATGGATAAGGACTTTTGTATTTATAAGATATTTAACTGTTATTTATGTTAATAAAGTTCAATAGAAGTTTGCACTAGTTTATTACCCATAGTAATTTCCCATTACCTAGTTTCCTTTTGCTATAATCAAAGAAGAAATAATCAAAGAAGAAAGTATCAAAGAGAAAAATATATATGGAAGGAAGTGGAACCTGTTCAATTTCCTAAAGAAAACATGCTTTGCTTTCAGTCTACCTTTTAGGTAATTTCTCCCTTCACTCAAACTGAACTGGTGTGGAAGATACAAATAATGCTCTGGTGTGTGAAGTCTGTGGCAAATATATCTGCATGTGTTTGTTAGAGCTTATACTACTGTCTTCCCTGCCACACGTATATTAAAAATCAAGCACCACTTTATTTATTCTGGCATATGGTCCTTGATTCATGTCTGTAAGGTAGGAGGGAGAAGTGTAAGCTAACCTCTCACTCTTTTTGAGTTATCTGAGATGTAGTGTAATAAATTCTATAGGGGTAATATGTACTAATATCACTAAAACAGTTCCCACTGCAAAACAGCTCCCACTGCCTGCCAATTAGAGTAAAAGCTGAGACAGAAGCTTCCTAGTCTTGTAAGGTGTCTCAAATGTAACAAGCAGATCAGCTTTCATGAAGACAAAATACAGTCAGAATCCTACTCAAAATACCTCTTCTATAGAAGCACAGTGAGTTGTTACTACAGTTCATGTTGTCCTAGGGCTTCAGGAAGGCTTTCATGGGAATATGGTGATTCCTGTTCTTCAAGTCTAGAAATAATGCAAGGAAATTCAGATTGCAGCATGATGGCCCTTGTTGTATATGTGAAGCACTACAGGATAATTTAGGTTGGGAAGAACCTCAGGTCTGTCCCCATCTCTGCGCAGGATCAACTGAATCACATTGTACAGGGTCATGGATTCAATTCTACCTGCAGGCCAGTAACAAGTGGGGTACCACGGGGGTATGTCTTGGGACCTGTCCTACTCCACTCCAGTGCCATGAAAGAGGCAGCAGCATGCGCATGGCAAATCTGCAGATGCCACCAAGCTGAGGAGCCAGCCAACGCAGCTGAGAACAGTGCTGCCATTTAGAGGCATCTCAGCTGACTGGGGAAACGGGCTGATGGCAAGCTTGTGATATTTAGGAGGGACAAGAGGAAATTCCAATGAGGTGAGCGTGAGCCAGCAGAGGGCAGCAGCACTATCCGGGCTTGTATCGATAGAAGCAGAGCCAATAAAGCTGGGGAAGTGACTGACCATGTTAGCGCTCACCAGAGCACATCTTTCGTCATTATTGTATCAGATCTTGGGCTCTCAAGATGTATTTATCAGCTATCATGTGTTCAGTGCAGGGGAGGCTGAAGGAACTGGGCTTGTTCAGGGTGAAGAAAAGACTTCAGTGAGACCCAGGGGTAGCTGACAAAGTACCATGAGGTGGTTATTACTGAGGAATCACAGAGCCTGGTTCTTCAGTGTGGCTGTGCGCTCTCCATCTCTGAGGGTTTCAAGACTCAGCTGGATGAAGGCCTGGGTAACCTGATATAATCTCATGGCTTCCCCTGCTTCAAGGGGACTGGATGATTCCTGTGGTCCCTTTCAACTTGTATTTTCCTGCGTTCTGTAAAATACAACTTCACAAAGTGACAGAGCCACTCAAAACTTTTACCAACCACTACAATTTTTGCAGACCACCCCAGCTGCAGTTCTGAATAGCTTGCAAAAGTGGAAATATGTAACCGATGTTTGAAGACTTCTCTAACCGTTGTTGATTGGTTTACTCATAAGAAGAACTCAGAGATAAATAGCATCTCTTTTGGAAAGGATTTGCCCTGTGTTTATTTTGTTCTGCAACTATAATAGGGCTGCAGCGCTCCATGGATTCCATGCCTTTTATGCATCAGTGCAAGTGTTTGGGAGGATCCACTTAAAATTGTGCAAGCAAGCTGAAAAAGGGATAAAGGCGAGAGGGCTTTACTGCATTCCCAGAATTTAGGCTGATACTGCAGGCTGGATAGATTTTCTTCTACCCATAGCATTAGAAAACAAACAAATGACTGAAAACTAACTCTGGAACTAATAGGTCCATTATTGATGTTTTTAATAGAAATAAGCCTTCAACTGGGATTTATTTTTTTTTTTCAGTTAAGAAACTGCTTCAGTCAGTGTGCTCTTCTGGGTTGAGTTTGACTGTGAAAGAAAATAATCTTTACACTTCTCCCTGGTTGCTTTAACAAACAAATTCGCCATAAGCCATGAAAAAGGAGACTTTGGGGGGCTGCTTATCATCCATACCGTTAGCAGCTGCACAGATTCAGATAAGAACACAGTCTTCACAACTAGCACATACTCCGTTGTGATTATATGACTTTTATATTTTAGTTAAATGGATGTACTGATCCAAATATCAACCAAAGTTACTTCACAAAAACGGTAAGTGTATTTACAGAGTGAATAAGTTACATAGTTGTCAGAATAAAAGTGTCTCAGATGTGCAACAGATTTACATGCATACATTTAACACTGGACAGCAGTTAAATGTAAGAAAAAGAACGTACAGTTATGACATATATACATTACAAATAAAATAGGACATCTCTTTAAAGAAGCTTAACATGAGAACTTGCATTTCACGTTAATATTTTTACTTTTTATACTCAAAATTTATATTAAATAAAAATATGCATGCATAACAGTTCAAAAGATTTGACTCTGTGATGGGACTTTCTCCTACAAAATGGCAAGTTAAATTAGATCAACCATCCTTTAATATAAATATATTCATAAAAGCAACCCTCTAGTAAAAAGCCATCAAGATCCTTTAAAAAAAAAAAGAAAAAAAGGAAAATCTACCAAGACCATTCATTATACTTGTGGGCCTAAGAACAGACCTCTGCAATATGATCCAGTACCTTCAGAGACAGTAGCCTAGTAACATTAGGAAATGTACTTCGTAGCAGCTCGTTGTTTTAAGATACAGTAATAATATTCAAATTACAGTGTACATTAAATTGTAGTCCATTTACAATTTGTTTCATATACACAGGCTCTCAGCTTTTGACCAACAAGTTTGCGAGATTCTGTGGCCAGCTTCATTCTGCCCATCTTTCACTCAACCAAATAAGAGAAAAAAAGGAAAAAATGTACAAGTTTTTTTTCTTTTTTTTTAACAAAAAAATATTATTTTGTGAAGGAAACATTGCACTTCTGCCAACCTAAAATTAATTTGCTATAAAGGAAGTATTGTTCAGTGTAGTAGGCTTTGGTATGCAATGGAAGTCACTTCTTCAGTAGTGAGTTGCAGTTGCTCAGTGAAATGCTAACTGATTTTTTGTGCAACAGAGAACAAGGGATGTTGTCCTGGATGCTCTATGTTACCTTTGTCCTTACAGTATTGCTACACGTTTGAAGTTCAGCCCATATCTTATTAGAAGAAATCCTAAATGTAACAAGAGTGAGTACAGTTTGACCAAACCTTTGTAAGGCTGAGAAGACATTGAGCCACCTCACTCCAGCAGGGCAGCACTCCCAGCTTGAAAGAGGACATGAGACTCCTGTCAGAGACTTGTGCCGGAAACGCTGGAGTCTGGAAGAAAAGTATTGATGACCCGGTAACTCTGGGCTCTGCGAATCATGTCACGGATCTCGATATTCAGTTCCATTAATTTGGTGCAGATTTCAGTCAGGCTCTGGTTAGAGCCCACCAGTGCATAGGTGCCCGTCTGACCCAAGGTTTGGTGTCGGAAGTAAATGTTCAGTAGTGTCTGGACTTCGTCATCAGAGCTACTTCCAAAGATATCATTGGGCCACAAAATCCTGCAACCAAACAGGAAGAGAATGGGTGCATCATTATGGGGTATTCGCGCAGACCGAAACCAGGTGATAGAGATCTCTAAAAGGAGAATGGATGTGCACATATTTACAAGCCAAAATAACTCACTGTCTTAAGTGACTCATTTGTTAGTGATATCAGACACTGAAATAACATAAAAGCAAATTCCTATTTTTTAAGGAAACAAAAAAGCTTAAGAAAACTAATTCAAATAAGTGAAGTGAAACTAGGCTGAATGTTAGCTGATGCCAGTGCCATACACTTGCTAAGGAACTGGCTCTATAAAAAGATTCTGTAAGTATCTTACAAAGCCTCACAGAAGTACCTTTCATCTGCACTATGCATTAAACATCTTCATTGTGGTAAGCATCTGTGTTTGTATTACCAATTTGATATTGTTACTTGTGGTGCTCACCTGCAAAATTAATAATACCTGTGCCCCACCTACCTTGTTGAAAAAGTATGCAATAAATTACGGTGACCTAGTACATTTAGTATAAAGTTAGGAGGAGAATAAATGCATGCTTTTCCAATAACACGGAATTCTAACAGGAACCATGTAGTAAAACTTGCCTGCATTCTCGTATTTGTCGGACGGCTTTAACAAGTTCATTGTTTTTCAAACACTCCAGCATGGACTGAATAGCTGCTTCTGTAGAATTGAATGTGGGCTCAGACTCCACACTCAGAGGCTCAGCTGCAATAGCGGCAGTAGCATCCTTAAGATTTTTCTTCAACTCGCTCAGTTCTCTTGACATATTTAACAGCTGTTCCAATGAGAAGATTATGAGATGGGTATTTTGGTAGGCACCAAAGAGAGTAGTTATTTCGAGTCTGTTCTTACTAGCACATTTGATGTATGCATTATGGAAAAGACACCATTTCAACACATTTCTTGATCTCTATGCTCAGTATAAGGAAACAGACTACAGATTTGTGTGTTTTTTTGTCGTGTAGCTTTAAAGTGCATTGAGCTTTCTTTAATCTTTTGGCTTGCTAACGTTCAAGAGCACATCTGAATAATCTTTTATCTTTTATTTCTGCTACTGTTTTCATATTGTGGTGGGAAAGTTTGTGAAAATAACATTTGCTTCTCCTAGCAATGATGTTGTTATTTATTTACAAAACACATGCAGGATCTGATATGATTAACAGATGGACCAGAATTTTATAGCCCTTTGCCAGGCTAAAAAGTTAAAGATCTACCTTTATATGCTCATATATGCTAGAAATAACCACTGTCTCATGAACTAAAAATGGACCTTCCCTTAAATAATAGCTTATGGTTCCAGCAAAATATGTATAATTTTTTTTTGAAGGACATTCCTCATGTTGTTGCTCTTCATTTCCATAGGCTGCATCATTTATAACAAATCATCTAACAAAGTCACCTGTTAAACAGCTACACAAATCGATCCGCTAATAAAGAACATAAAACATTTCTAAAATTTAGGCTACTCCAACACCAGATTCCTAGTATTCTGTCTTAGAAGCAAGCAGCCTGGTCACATTACAAGACAGCCTGCAGAACAGTTTCTTAAGACACAATAAACATTCAAGCTCCTTGTACTACTATACCACATCTAACAAAACAAACCATCTCCATTTACTGGAGAATCTGTAAAATGCCAGAATTCATCATAAGATATACTTCATAGCTTGACATTTTGTTTTACAGCAACAAGCAAAGTGCAATAACTTTTTCTCAATAGTTTAAAATATATACATTTCGCCAGGAGGAAAAAATATATGGAATGGCAAGTTATGTTACTACCTTTCTTTAAACGATGATCATTTAACTTAAAGTGATCACCTCAAAGTTTTTTCAAAACAGTTTGTTTTTTACGCGATTGTTGGCAATAAATTTGACTAAC